CCCTATGGTCCTGCTCCACCTCCACAACCCTATGGTCCTGCTCCACCTCCACAGCCCTATGGTCCTGCTCCACAAGGCTACCCTCCTCCTGCACAAGCCTATGTTCCTCCTCCACAAAGCAACACTGTTGCAGGTACAGCTCAACAACCTTCGCCTTTCCCTGCTCAGCCATCTGCTGTCTCAACCGCTTCTGGCACAGTGAGTATGGAAGTGCAACAGGTTCCCTTGCGGGCCTATCCATTTGGAGATGGGAGAAGCTTCTGCTGGCCCCAAATATCAAAAATATTCTTTCCTTACATTCATAGAGACCAAAGGCAAAAACGGGAATTGTTGTCCCCCCACCCTGCCAATTGTTATAGATGCATCCTGCCTACACAGGTCGTCCTTGACGTACGGCCATAATTGAGTCTGCAATTCAAGTTGTCATTCATGCCAGTCCTTCATCATGTGACTGTGCCTGATTTTATGACCTTTTTTGCAGCAATTGTTAAGCAAATGCAATGGTCATAAAGCAAAGGCCATGTTTGTTTTGCAAACACTGTGGTCGTTAAGAGAACTCGTTGTTCGCAATGGACCTCTTTTTTTGCCAGAAACTTGAAATAGACATCAGTTTTGGATAAAACTGTTGCTGAGCAAGGATGTGACTGTTGGGCAGGGGAGGCGGTGGCCATTGGAACTTTGAATCCAGGTCCTAAGTATCTTTCTGGATGTTTGCTGTTGCTTTTGGTCACAAATTGAGGACTGTCTGCAGAGAAAGATTTGTTTGTCAGTCTACGTCTTGCTACAGCTCCACATACCGTCTTTCCCCAAAAATATTTTCCCAAAAATAAGTCCTAGCTTGATTTTTACATGTGTGCCCTATATAAGCCCTACCCCAAAATAAGCCATAATTAAAACCCTGGCCACTCCAGGGTGCACAGGTAAAAAATAAGCTAGGGTGGGAATGGGGTGGTGGTGGAGCTATCCTACTACTTACCTTCGGACAGTTGCAGCCAGGTCTTGCGCACCTTGGCCCATTTCTTCTGCAGCCAGCATGGCTTTCCTAAAGACCTCTGCAGCTGATATCAGAGCTCTGGATTGATCCAGAGCTGTGTTATCAGCTAGAGAGGCCTTCAGGAAAGCCTTGCCAGCCAAAGAAGTTCCTGAAGGCCTCTGACAGCAAAAAGGAGGCCAGGGCGACACAAGTGAGGTGAGTCAGTGGACATCATTCCCCCTGAAAATAAGACCTGGTGTCTCTTTTGGTGGCAATAAAATATAAGACGTGGTCTTATTTGGGGGGAAATATAGTAGATCTGGATTCATGATGGCATCTTCTCTTAAAAAATATGCTCCTGTTTCATGGCTTTAACTCTCCAGTATATTTTATCTGAGTTTTGTAGAACCAGATATGTGCCGGGTAACTGAGTACAATTGTTGTTGCTCTCAATCAGTAATTTTCAACCTTGGCAACTTTAAGTTGTATGGATTTTAATTCCCAGCTTCTCCTAGAATTCCCCAGTCTGGCTGGGGAATTCTGAGAGTTGAGGTCCACATAACTTAAAGTTTCCAAAGTGAGTATTGCTGCACTAGAAATCCTAGATTTGAGAGCAACAGTGATTTGGATTATCCATCTCTCCTCTCCTTTTATTTAGTAATTTCAATCATTGTTTTACTTCTTCATCTGATCACAGCTATGGTTCTCCATAGTCTGATGACCCGAACACAAATGTAACAAAATCCAAAACGTAAATAAATGTCCTTCAATGCCTCCAACTTGGCTCCACTGTTCAATAATTCTCAGTTGGAGATAAAACTTACTCAAACATAGTCTTCAAAAGAAAGCAACACAGTCAAACTTAATGAGCAGATAGAGATGAAATACAAACCCAAACAAACTACAATGAAGAAATTTCCACAATGGACCGGGATAAGTAATTACCAAATTTCAGGAGATAACAAGGCACAGTCTGTTGGAAGGTCACAAACCAAGATAACTTCAGCCGAAAATAAAACACACTTTGCTTCTGGCAACACTGTGTTTTAACAGTCCCTCTTATATACTATTCTCCCCAGCTGCCACCAATGAGGGGGATCATGGCCACTTCCTGTCTCGTAAGCCAAGTTGTTTCCTTCTCCATTCCTCCCTGCATGTCTTAGGATGGAGAGGGGATGGGCCTGGTTCTTCCTCTAGCTGCCTAGCTGGCCTCTGCCCTTCCCCAGCCTCCTCCACAACCTCCACTCCCTGTCAGCTGTTCCTCCTCTCCCTCAGAGTCCGACTCTACCAAGGGCATGACACATAGGATCTAGAACCACAGTCGTATTAGATCCTGAATCTTATTTAGTCAAGCATAGCTAATCACTTGTAAGAACTTTTCCTGCAAGAGCAGGGAGGTTGGAAGCATCAGTTTGCTGGACAGATCCAAATTCTTGCAAAAGACAAATGTTTTCTATGCAATGAAGTGCATTGAAGTCCTTCTGAGTTAGTGTTGCAATAAGCCTGTCCTTCTTTAAGGTTACACTTAGAGCTTTTTTGGTTTACGGGAGCCCAGATGGAATCCTTTGGGGATAGTCCCAATTCTTAAAATATGCTGTGGAAGTTACTCGTACTAGTCAAATGTTTGGAATGCAAGTTCCAGGCAGCTCCAGGAAATAAAGCTGGTGGGAACTGTAACCCACCACAGTAGGAGGGCAGAATGAGCCAATCCCTGGGACAGAGGAAAATTCATGTAACCCATCTCTGCTGGACAGCCACTGGAAAGAGATGCATCCATGGGCTTCAAATACAGTTGGTGGGTTTTTGTTTGTTTTTTTTTAAAAAATAAGGATTGTAGGAAACGAACCAGACCGGTGACTATAATTCCATATTTTAATTTTTTCTTTCATTTTCTTTTCTGTTCTGCAGCCAGTGCCTAACAATGGGAACCTACCTAATTCTGCCCCCTACAGCTTGCCTAGTTCAGTTTCCCAAGCGGCTTTCCCTGCACAATCTTTGCCTGCTGCCCAAACTGCTGCTTATGATCCTCAATATTTTGTTGGACAACCTTCCTATGCTCCCATGACACAAGTTGCCTCTGGTGCCCTTTCACAACCTCCCTCTAATTCCTTTTCAAACCCTGGCCCTGCTACCCTACTTTCACCCAGTGCTCAGCCCTCTGGTACATCTGGAATGCCTTTGTCTGCAACTGGACCATTTGGTAGCCCTTCACAAACCAGCCTTGCTTCCTCACTTTTACCCAGTGATCAGCCCTCTGGTACACCTGGAATGTCTTTGTCTGCATCTGCAC